TATATATATATATATATAGAGTGTCTCTGAAATCATGGTACAAACGATGATGTGTCTGATGATTCTACGTGTAAAAGTAAATGGAGGAAAGAGAGAGAGAGAAAGAAATAACATTTTCTTCGTTTAAGCCTTTGTTTTCAAATAAATCAAGTGAAATTGGCTACTTTCCAAGATGCAATACGAATGAAATAATACGATACGATAATAAGATACGTCTAATAAGATTAAAATTTTCTTTCGTTTAAAAATTATATTACTCTTGGATAGTTTATTTATAGTACGAAAAAATAGCAAAATTTTTCAAAATAGAATAATTCTATCGTACTACCACCATCTTCGAGTCACCCTGTATAGACTTTCTAACGAGAAGTGTTTATAAAATTTATATCCACCACGTGGCCGGATTCTTTCGATCACACGTAGTACGCGTAGGTACGAGAGGTTGCTGCAAGGCGAACATCTCTGTCCTTGAAAGATTTCCGCGCAACAGATTGATATTTTCACGTATCACGAATCCTTGATCGTCATAGAAAAAAGAGATATTTTCCTCGACATTTCCTTTCTTTTTTTCTCGTAAAAGCTCATAAGAAGAAATAATTCGACCATTTTTAAATTAATCTTGGAAAGAATATAAAAAACTCATAAAAGCTTACCGGCTTGCGCGGCGAAATGCAATGGCGTGTTGCCCTCGTTGTCGGGGATATTCGGATCCGCCCTTTCGAACGAGAGCGCTAGCTCCAACATCGTCGAGGCACCGTTTCCAGCCATGTAGCTGATGGCGGTCTAACGTAACAATCGTTAAATATTATTTCACTCATCGATTGCGCGAGATACTTGGTTTCTCACTTTGTTGTTTTTCCAACGGTAAATATACCGTTGAAAGATCTTTAGTCAAGTTTTACTTTTATTTTGTTATGGAAAGGGATCGAATGTTAATCCTTTGAATGAAGGTAAATAGGTCCTGAGTGTAGGTAGAAGTTGGTGATCATTTTAAGTCTTTACAGTTATATGTCGATTGTTATAGGGATTTTTATGAGATGTAATTGTGTCAAAGTGTGGAATTGAGAAGTGACTATATATATATATATATTATTGAATTAAATAATAAGAGCTTTTAGATGATCTAATTATATGGAGTTGGAAAACTGAGGAGGATGTTACAAATTTTTTTATAGAAACTTTTATAGAAGACAAAAAGTAATTTTTCTCTTGCATAACACGTTCAACACCAGTATTCATAGCCATTTTATAATATTATACATACTTCTTGTATTTATCAAAAAATTAATCTCACCGAGAACCTTTTAATTTTTGAATGAATATTAAGAATCGAATCTTTTTTATTTTTTTGCATTCGCCGCATGCATTAATATTTAAGAATATTGTATATATATATTTTTCTTTTTTCACGTTAGAAAGAAATTATATCGTATTTCAAGAGGAGGTGAAAAATATAAATACACGATATATTTGTGATGCTCGAGATATTTGTCCAACGAGCATCCAATTCGTTATTCTTTAGTGAGACGCACAATGGATTGTGCGGTGTAAGGATCAATTTATTAAGTGGTTACTGACGTTGACGTGATAGCTCAAATGCTATTACTTTATGTGCGTCATTGTAGCAAACACATGTCGAAATAAGACTCTCACTTGTTTTCGTGCAAAGAAGCGTACGTTGTTTTTCGAGCTCGAGTAAGAACAATAATTTTATAAAATTAAATCTTGGAAAGAATATAAAAAAAAATACTCCGCTCTACTGAGATGTGAACAATTTGTAAGTCAAATTCATTTTTTTTTTTTAATTATATTATATCATCATTAATAGTCGAAAAATTGTGCGATCGTTCAAAAATCGAATAATTAAAGTCGATTAATTTAAACTTCTTTACACAGTGTATATGCATAGTACTTTTTTAAATTCTTAATTATATTATATCGTTTCTCTGATTTGCTTTTACGTGAGAAACGTAACAAATTTAATTAAATAACACATTCTATTTTAAAAACATTAAATTGTGCCTAAGAGACAGAAGAATTATTTAAGGACACCGTATATATACTTGCTTCGTTTTTTTAAACGATTAAACGACAGTCGCGTCTACGTTACAAAAAAATTATTTTTTCCACAGCCTTGAATCAATTATTCCAACACACTCGAAGGGAACGTGTATCTACGTGATAAATTTCTTTTATCACGTGTCGTATGTAAATACATTGTCACCGTCAAATCCAACGATATACATTTACAGTATAATGTAGATATATATGCACATTCGTAAAAAATATTTAATCAATTATCTATCTCATAATATTCAATTTCATTATTCATATTGAAAAATGAATTTTCTTCTTCTTCTTCTTCTTTTTATTTATAATATATAGAGTATCCAACAAAAGCAAAAATTGGTATAGATAAAATATATCAATTTTTCTAGCCTCTATCTCTGTCTCGTTTCATCCAACGCAAACATAAATCGCTCGTAATTTTTAATTTTTATAAACTATATATATAGCCAAGTTTTGCGTTAACCTCTTATCGACCGATCTTTCAAAGATTACAATTATTGATTACTGTTCAACAAACACTCACCCTGCCGCTGCTATCAGCCATATTGACGTCCATGCTTCCAAATCCAAATTTTCGCACTTGAACTGCGATCTCATTGAGGACTCCATCGTCGGCATCTCTTGCTGCCCTCAGAAGGGCCGCTGGGCCCTCGGAGGTTACTTCCCACGAGGACGGCACTTTCGTGACGATATCCACCTCGCGCACGCTACGATCTGATGAATAGAAATATATTATATTTCTTTAAAACTATCTTTGCTAAATGAAACAGATATTTAATATCTTTTAAATGTCTTCCATGATTTACACGTTTAATCCGAAATGAAATGATAATAAGTAACAACGATTACAAAAATACGTATAATATATAAATAATTGGCAATGATCTTTCGAGAATCAAACTCGAAAATAGAAGAAACAACGAATATCCCGCTATACGTTGATATAATTTATTTCTCTCTAATAAAATTTTCACGGGATCAACGTTAAAACCGGATTAATTTTTAATCCCAGCTTTTTTATATATATATGATTTACGGTTTAGAGAAGATACGCCGGTATATCTTTCCGCCCGTGCCCGTTATTGTTCGACTTCTATTTTCCACGTTTGTTTATACGGCTCGTATTGTGCGCCGTATGCAATATTCCGTTTGATGAATTTCCAAAGAAAACAGCGACCACGCAAACTCCACGGTGAAATCGAAAAACTGTATCCGGCTTGGAAATTGATGCATTACCGATATATTAAATGAAGTTTACCTTAGGCGACGAGAAAATGAATGGGAACGAGAGAGATAGAGAGAGGGAGGGGGAAGGAGCGCATACCTTGCAGAACACCCTTGTGATACACCTTGGCCTCGTGGACGGCGGCTCTTTTGTAAGGTGCCCGTTTCTCCTCGAAGCTCGTGTCCGAACTGAAGGACACCGATTTCTTTACACCGTTCGTCTTCCTTCGCTCGACCAGCAACGTTTGCACGGTCGGGGCGCGTTGAAACGGATCGAGATCGTTGTTCAACAACGAGAGATAACCTCTCAAACTCGGATACCTTGCCGAGCTCGCCTCGTTGCAACAATTATTCTGCTTGCTCAATTTCCTCTCTCTAATTTTGTTCGCCGGATGGGTGAAATTGGACAGAAACGCGGAAGACTTTTTCAGAATGCTCTCCTCGCCCGGTCCTCGCCCGATCTTCCGCGTTGTCGAAAGACCTGAAACGACAAATCCATCCCCTCCTCGTCACGAGCCTTTCTATATTTCGGCGATAACTCGAATACGAATCGAGGCGCCAACAATACGATACGACACGATCCTATTGTCGTTATTCAATATTCGAGCGAGCGTCACGTGTTTTAAAAATAGAAACAATGGCGGTGACATGACATAACGATGAGTGTATTCGAAAAAAAAGATCGGTTAGAGAAACTTTTCTGAAACGCGTTCTCGAAGAAGAAAAAAGAAAGGATAAAAAGATTAAAAAATGAGAAAGAAGATCGAAACGAATCGATCATTTTCAGATCAGGGGGAGAAAAAAAAAATCGGCTTACCTTCTCTCAGATAATCGGGTACCGAGAACGATTTTCTTATAGGCCGTTGAGCTTTCCTGAAATCCGTCGATCCTTCCGCGTGTTTGGCGAGCCTCTCGCAGGGGATGTCTCCTTTCAGAGACAAGTTGTCCCGATGTTTTGCGCGAGTACTCGCGTTCACGGTCGGCTTGCTCCTCTTGTCAACGATGCACGGCGCCGGCGTCTCTCTCGCGGTGCAGTTATTTCGAGCGAGATCCCCCCTAGAGGCGACGAGGCTGTATTGGTTCACGGGGCAACTATTGCCCTTTGCCAATGAGTTGCACTTTAATCGCGCCGTCTGGACACCGTTTACCTGCCAGTTGTCCTCTTGCAAAGGCCGGCTGTTATTCTGTTTCGATCGTTCATGTCAAACGAAGATTTTTCTTTTTTTTTTTTCTTTATCTTCGAAAAATGAATATCTTAAAAAAAGGTGATTAAAAGGTTTCTTTTGATTTGATTTGAGGGGAAGGGAAGAAGGAACGTAGGGCTGTTACGAAGATATATACGTGTATGTGAAATTGTTTGGATGTAGATATGCGAGTGCAATATTAATAAACCAATACGAGGATATATATATATATGTACATTGTGTAAACGCGATAACAGAAATTGTTTATCTTGTTAGATTTATTGCTACTCGTGTTCAGTTTTCGCGTTTCGAGAGAATTGCTACGAATTTCGTGCTCGATTGAAGATATTTCGCTGACTCGTTGCAACACGTGTGACGTATCTCGAGAATCACTTAAAATTTAATCCTCGATCAACAGAACAGAAATAATCTATATCTTTTTTTTTTTTTTTTTATATACCTGTAATAATATTTTAATCAAAAAATCTTCCAATACCTCTTTAATACCTTGATACCCTTAGATCCTCCCTTAGTCAATTTCTTATAATTATAATTGGAAATATTTCCGTTAAAATCTTATTTTCCTCCTTTCTCTTTTCCTTTTTTTATATTAATCAATTCTCGAAAACGAAACTTGAAAACGATCGAAGGTAATATAGGGGGCGAGAAAGGGGGAGAAGTGGAGAAAAACTTACGAGAAGAGAAAGTTCTATTTAAACGGAGGTGAGGAGGAGCGAGAGCGCGGGTTGGCGTGTAGAAAATCGATCATTCCCGCGGAAACTCTCGGAAATCACTGACGGTGTCGCGGATCACGGCACGGCCTGCGCCTCCTCTAACGTATTCGGAGTAGGAGAAGTTCCTTGAAAAGCGAATCGTGCCTTCCGGATCGCTTCGCGAGACGTGCACGCGAGTTCTACCGCATCCGTTTCGACTAAACGCTATTTATACGCCGGTTAAATCGTTGCGTTGCTCGGTCGTTGGTGCCTCGTCAACGATGCGTACACGCGCATCATCGAACGAAGCTTACAACCAAATACCCTTCTCTCCGACCGCCGTCAACCTGTTGTTCCTTTTCTCCCCCCCCTTCACGATTTTCTCGCCGAGCCAATTACTCGCGTTTGCCCTCGATATTTTTGTATTCGCTTCGAACGTGAGTAAACTTGAGAGAAAGAGAGAAAAATCCGCCATTGAAATTCACGACATACGTATAAATCAGTCGGGATCGGATCACGATTTCAAAGATTTTCAAGATTTTTCGATCTTTCTCCTTTTTCTTTTCCCTTTTTAAGTTTTTAAGATAAAATAAAAAACGCTTACTTGAGCGGTGATATTCCGTTGTACGGTGGACACACGTTGGAGCATGATGTCTCCGGTATCGCGTTTGTTTCCACCGGTTAAGGACGCTCTTCCGTGTGTCTCGTTGCAAGATCCGTTCCCTTGATTCTTAGTCATCGTTGATCTAGATTCCATCGAGAGGATCGTGGAGGATCGAGTGAAGGGGACCTGTCATTGCCTGCTATTCGTCATTGCAATCGTGTGATTGAAGTTTACGTAACACCTTACCGGCGCGTAGATTATCTTTGAACGGAGGGTCGCGTTTGAACTTGATTTGTTTGTTGCCTATGTATCAATGTATCCATGGCGCGGGCTCTCAAGAGAACTTCACTCGATAGGCGTCCACTCGTCCTTTTGCCGCGTGCTTATTTTGGCGGCATTTACACTCGCTCGTCGACGTTGTAGTCTTCGTCGTCGTCCTCGTCGCCGTCGCCTCTGGCGTCAAGCCAATATTTTCAATTCTCTTACTGAACGGGAATCTATCGATTATGCCATAATGCTCGAAAACTTGCCCCGGCCTGTTTATCGATTTTACAAAATTATTACGGTATCTACCGTTTGAGAGAGCGCATATGGCCGGCGAGCTATTTTAGCAAGTACGCCAGATTACGCGGAACACGCTTTCCACGTAAAGAGGGAAAGAGAGAAGAGGGAAAAAGAAAAGAGAGCGCGAAAGTAGGGAGGGAATATTGGAAGCGTAATAAATCGTCGCGGCGAATAATTGGAATATGATATAATTCGGAATAATTTGTTGTACTTTCATTAGCGAGTTTCCGTTAAATTCGATTTAACGATCGAGAGACAATGGGAGAGCCGATGTTTTTCTTCTTGAGAATGGATTACGTGACTCCTTTGGCGAGAAACCAGAGTACATAATTTACGTATAGTTCGCTCGATGCGGTCGTAAAATGAAACGAGCGAAATACTACAGATGTTCCGTCTGCCGAAATAAGCAAATTGAAACGTTATAGAAAGTCACGAACTCGAGCGTAGTTCAATGCCATTACTTGGGACGAATCATTATTGTTAACGCGAGAAAAAGAAAAAAAAAAATCTTGCGAAGAGTTTTTATCGAGATTCGAAGTAATATTTAAAAAAAAATGAAAGAAATTTTATCGTACAACGATATTAATTATGTTTAAAAATTTTAGTAACAATGGAGAGAGATACTATTGGATACTATGAGAGAAGAAAAAGAAAAAAAAAGCTTGTGAAGAATTTTTATCAAAAAGTAATATTTAAAAAAAAATGAAAGAAATTTTATCGTACGACGATATTAATTATGTTTAAAAATTTTAGTAACAATGGAGAGAGATACTATTGGATACTATGAGAGAAGAAAAAGAAAAAAAAAAATCTTGTGAAGAATTTTTATCAAGAAGTAATATTTAAAAAAAATGAAAGAAATTTTATTGTACAACGATATTAATTATGTTTAAAAATTTTAGTAACAATGGAGATAGATACTATTGGATACTATGAGAGAAGAAAAAGAAAAAAAAATCTTGTGAAGAATTTTTATCAAAAAGTAATATTTAAAAAAAAATGAAAGAAATTTTATCGTACAACGATATTAATTATGTTTAAAAATTTTAGTAACAATGGAGATAGATACTATTGTATACTATGAGAGAAGAAAAAGAAAAAAAAAAATCTTGTGAAGAATTTTTATCAAGAAGTAATATTTAAAAAAAAATGAAAGAAATTTTAACGTACAACGATATTAATTATGTTTAAAAATTTTAGTAACAATGGAGATAGATACTATTGGATACTATGAGAGAAGAAAAAGAAAAAAAAAAATCTTGTGAAGAATTTTTATCAAGAAGTAATATTTAAAAAAAAATGAAAGAAATTTTAACGTACAACGATATTAATTATGTTTAAAAATTTTAGTAACAATGGAGATAGATACTATTGGATACTATGTTATTAATTTAATTAACAATGCGAGTCGAGCTTGTCTAAATACGAGCGTGCGATTAATGAAAATTCATAAGGGTGCTTGACAAACTCGATGAAGGTAATCAATGTCGATAGCACGCGCGCGAGTTCATCAGGAATAATAATAATAACGTTACGTTGATAATTCACGTGTGACATTGTGTCATTGACACATTTTGCACACGATAATAACCTCACTGCAAATTCGACACTCGACGTCTCAATCGGTTTTCGGTATCTACGTAAGAACGTTCTTTTCCATACTGGCCAGGCTTCGGTTTAATTTTAAACGAGGCCGACGTCAAACTGGTGGGATTCGTAAATTTGTCGCTTAATATCATGACCGTGATTCGTTACCGAGTCTTTAATCTGTAACGAAGCGCTGTAAATAAACAGACTATTCCGCGGTGGACAATTCGATCGACAATTCATCTCTCAAGAGAAAGACAAAAATTCTATCTATTTTCTATAAAAATCGAAACGATGATAACCGACTCGAAGACTTTTTCCCTCCAAGACCTTGTAACTTTCTTTTTATAGCTTTTTCGTGGCAATAAAAAAAGCATCACTTATCAATTGGCTCTATAATTCACGTTTTATGTACGTTTACTCGATCAGAATATTGAATGAAAACTTTTTACTTGTTTCGAGTGTCGTTTCGAACATCACTTGTGAAGTTAAACCGACGAATTTATAACATTCTACGCTTCTCGAATTTAAGGATCACTTTAAAGAAATATTTACCTGTTTCTATTTTCGTTTATCGATGTATGATACGAAAATAGCGCGAATATTCTTGTTCGAAAGATCTAAGACTTTCTAAAATGCATATATCTCGTATATTAAGAATTTGTTTAAAGAATATTTGCACATCTTTCGATGAAAAATTTACCGGATATAATGTAATGGTAGTACGTTTGTAATCGTAGACTGCGTATCGGAAATACAATAAAAGAGATAATCCACGACGCCATTAATCTTATCGCTCAACTATTCAAACTAATCTATTCGCGTAAGGGTTGATTGGATACTGGGCTAAAATTTAATTCGCACCCTCGCCCTGAAAGTATCACGAGAGTCGTATCGCACGCTCTCTCATCCGCGCAGTCGCAGATTTAGGCCAGATACTCTTTAATATCTAGTCAAACCGAAAAGATTCTGAACGCAAAAATTGTATAACTTTTCCTTTTTCATTTTATTTCCGTAACTTGCATACGACTGTCAAAATGCGTTTCCGTCTGAGTGAACAAAATGAAACGGAAAAAAAAAAACTTCCACGATTTTTCTAACATACCTACCGAGTCTCGTTCGATCTATTTTCGTGCAGTAACGCATTATCCATTGGGATGTGTGCACGTGTTCGGAAGTTTCAATGATTCAAGTTTAATTAGAAAAGTAAAATTTCCAAAAATAGTATTTACCTACATTAGCAGTTACTTATATATTTTACAGATATAGTGAATTTTAAAGCAATCTGCCGAAAACTAATCTTTTCCGGCTTAAAATGTACATACTATCCAATACTGTCTTACGAATCTAGAATAGCCATTTAATTAGAAATACGTAGTTCAAATGTAGTATATATTCTTAAAATATTCAAGATAGAAACGTTTAGTTTCGATTACAAAATAGTAATATGTTAGAAAAATGTAAAACACGAGTTATTCGATATTCGTGATAAATGAATTGCAATTTTGAAGAAAAATAGTATGCGTGCAAAAGAAACAACTACGTGATGACGTGTTATTAAAAGAAAGCTATTATCCGCATGCAATTTATTCAAAATGGTATTCGAAGGTTTTTTATTATATGGATTTTACATAGATTTCAATATAGATACGATTCGTTATTCCGTATCGGAGAAATGTCAGAATTCATTAGTTCAAGGTTGACTTAACCTTAAATTTAGTTCGAGTTTCGTGTTGATCGTAAAACTCGTTTAAAACCGTTCCCTGTAAAAATAATAATTGAATTTTTGCTGGATAATAAATCAAGTCAAGTAATGTATCTTGAAAAATTGTTTTACCTTATCTATAGACAAAATAATTTTGATTAAAAATCAGGAAGAAACAATAATACGTATTTCAAAGTGTAATACTATATTTCGATAACATAGAGAGTTTACATCGAGGATGAACTATTTGATGCAACGCTATTAGTATAGCGTGCATAAATCTTCCTCATGCTGGCAGCCCTTTAATTATGAAAAAAATAGCAATATCGTGGCAATGCTGATCAGGTGGAAAATACAATAATTGTGAGATGATTCTCATATGTTTTACGTACGATACTTATTTGGCAACAATCAACAACTGGGATCAAAGGTCACGAGTGGTATATATAACGATTATTTAATATTTCAAAATTTCAATTCATCAACTTTATGATTCGTCTCAACGAGGTACCATTTATAATCGTTGATCCCAAAAATTACGTAAGAATTTTTACACGGTTCCCGTGCTTTACGTACACTTTCAAATTCCTTCACACGCGAAAACAATGCTTTCTCCTTCATCACGAGATGCTTTTTAATTCGTGGCAGTAAAAATTCTAATATTGTGCATCGAATACGCGATACATTAAAACTCAAAGATGAATAAAACGTTAACTTAAACGCTTAAAAACGAGATCATTGGTAAAAATACAAACTTCCTTAACATTATCGATCCAAGTACAGTATACATGTATCTATGTATCTGCATAACGAAGAACGAGTTTCACATTGAAAAGAACAAAATAGTTTAAAATAAATCGGATCGAGTTTTGTAATTCTCGACGTGTCAAAAATGTAAATATATATATATATATATATATAGGTATAAAGGCATCGACATTCTTCTTGGGGAGTACTTATCGATTTGAAATGCTATAGAAGATGAGGAAAACAGGCGCTTTACTGAAAAAGTACAACTTGAATAATTTAGAGAAAAGCATCCGTCGAACTTGCAATTTTCCGAAAAATCTTGAACTTTTCACTCGAAAACAAAATTTATTGAACCCACGAAGCAGGTACCCAGAGCGGTTCCGATTCAACCCGATGAACAGCGTTCACCAGTTGTTCAAACGCAATAGGAAGATCGGCGTTTACGATTACTTCGTCGAAAAGATGAGTGTACAGAAATTCGATCCTTGCAGCGCTATGCAAAATTTCACTAAATTCTTCGTCCTGCAAAGCAATCGAGTGAGTGAATATTCGTTATATAACATAGCACGTATAATTCTGAATAAAAAAAATGATTGATTTACCGTGAAACCCCGAGAGTTACTCTCGTCAAAAGTTGACCTTGCTCTAGCATCGTTCCTAGTTTCTTTCAATATCTCGAACCTCGGCGGTTTTATATATATCACGTACGGTTTTGTCTGCGGAGTTCGAAGCATCTTCAATGCTTGGTAATGAGGATTCAATAGACAAACGTATCCGGCGTTTATCAACGAGCTCACGCTTTCAGAACTGGTACCGTACAAGTTCCCTTTATACTCCCCGTATTCTATAAACTTGCCAGCCTCGATCTCCTCCTCCATCTTTTCACGGCTAACGAAGTGATACTCTTTCCCGTTGATTTCGCCTGGTCTCGGTTGTCTCGACGTATCTGAAGACCGTCACGGAAATTAATTTAAACGACGAAAGTAAGAAAGAAGAATTGCTATGCTTGACAGATGAGAATAATAACGCGCTTTTTAATTGGAATTAAAAAGAGATTAAAAAGTAAACTTACAAGGGACAGGTGTCTTGTACTTATCGGGGTCGGTGGCCATAAGCCGCCTCTTGAGCTCGTTCCTTCCGACACCGGGTGGCCCGATCAGAACCACCGGTCGGTAGAGGCCCGGTCTTGGATAGAGTTTTGCGACCTCTTCGTAGGTCGGTATTTCTTCCCGGTCGAAATCGTCGTTCTCTGCAGCGTCATACATGATTTTTTTAGTTTTTACTCCCTGCAAGTTGCACTTTGTAGGCGAGGCGTGTAAAGAGGTAGTGGGACGGGGGCACAATGCGGGCAAAGGCACTGGAACAGAACACAAGCCTAACCGACGGTTAGGTCGTCAGGCCATCATCCGTTAAGAAGGGCAGCCGAGACCAGTTTCATCGGGTTGTTTCCGCTTTTTTTTTTTTTTTTTCTTTTCGAGTCGTCGTTCGTTCACGATTAAGCAGATTATTATTGCAGATCGCCTCGACATGCAGTTAAACTTAAATGAGATTAGAAATCTTCTGCGAGATGAGAAATTATGAGATGTTGTTGACGCTCTCGTCAAAGTACGGGACGAGGTAATTTTTTAATTCTTATCACATTCGATTATGTTAATGGATGAAAATTGAAGATACAAACAGAAGCATACGTTATTATTATACACTCAATTGTAAACTCTATCACTTACTCATATTGTCATCGTCGGTTTTCTCCTTTTGTTGTCTCTCGAGGATAATTCGTCTCTCTTGCAAGGCTCTACTTGGGATCAAACCTGCCCTCATATTTCGATCACCTTCGCGTCTAGCTTGCCACCTAATTTCAAACAAACATAATTAGAATAAAATTCACGATACAATAAAATTCACACGAATATATGATAATTCGAACTCTCTCTACCAATAAGCATCATCCTGACTGACGATGTGAAGGACATCACCCTTAGAAAAATCTAATCCGGCCTCCTTACAAGGTATGTACGGATCTTCAGCAGCTTTGTACGAAAAATGCGCTCTAACTCGTACCTAAATGTAACAAAATAAAATTTAAATAAAATTGTTATTAAAATTATCAAAAAAAAAAAAAAAAAGTTCCAAAACTCGTCGACATTAAATCGAACGAAGTGAAGAAATTACCTTACTCTCACGAATTCCTCCTTTACTATCGGCAGGCACTATTTTAAAGGTAATCGTACCCTCGGAATTTTGCTGAAAGGGAACATATATCGTTTTACATAGGAATCGTTTAGAAATCAAATATATAAGCGATAAATATCGATAATGGTATTTATTGGCGCGAAAATAATGTAAAAGCTACGACTCACCAATATCTTAAGAACACAGTTCGGAGTCTTTCCTTCAACGCTGATGCCGTTGACCTCGCAAACTTCGTCTCCAACGTGAATGAGGCCGGATCTATCGGCCGCGCCGCCATGCATTATTCGTGCTATCACGATCTTGCCGGTGACCTCGCATGTTTTAATGGTCGCCCCCTATTGTCAACGTGTAAACTGATATTTTTCATTTGCGGTTGCGAGATGCGCAAGTGCCTTCGTTTTTCTTAAAAAAAAAAAAAAAAAAAAAAAAAAAAAAAAAAAAAAAACACAAAAAAAAAAAAACAAAGAGAATTCATCGCGAAAGCGACAAACAATCATTCGATCGAAGCAGTCGGATCTTATCGATCTTAAAATGATGAATTCTTCGACTGCGTTTCAAGCGTTATTGACTATGCTCGGAAATCTTTCAAATTTCTCGAGATAATCGAGGTAAAACATATTATTGATCATCATCAGCGACGATTTTAATGATATTTTTATTTGAGAGTAACTATTTTTCCAGAGAATTGTTAAACATTGAAAACAACAACTTGCTAAAGTTTTATTTTTAATTCTTGAAGAAGATTTTTCTATATATAATTTTATAATATGACGTAAAGCGTCCATCTCTGAGGAGTTAGCTTGAACGAAGTTTTCGAATAATTCCTAAAACGATGTGCTTTTATTTTATCTCGAGAGATTTTTTCCAGATTTATTCGATACAAGGACATGCGGGACAATAACACTGGATACAATTGTTATTATTAGAGAAATTGTTTTATTCACAAGCAAAAATGACAAACAAATAAACACAAATCAATGGGAGATTGCGATGGACGTACCGTATATATAAAGTAAGGTATAAGCAAAATGAACGAATCGTGTTTAGAAGAAAACGAACAGCGTTCTATTTACAGCCGATTCTATCCGCGAATATATATATATATATATATATTTTCTTTTCTCACTCCGGTATAGAGGCGAGATCGCAAAGTGACAAAAACTAAAAGTTTAAATCTAATGACTAGATGCCTGGTTAAATTAAAACAAAAAAGGAAACGGAGAAATAAATGAAATTCTACGAAAATCGTACTGCGCATTGCTTGGATACGCAATGGAACGTTTACAGGCCTGTAAGTAATACATGTCTCGGCTTGAAGTCGACTTACCACGATCGGTTCAACGCCGGCGCCACACTTCGAAGCAAGTTTGACGATGAAAGAAACACGTGATTACTTAAGAAACAGTATTGAGTATCGTGCGAACGATACGTGTTCGATACTAAGATACTTATTACGGGAACATGAGGTATCTAAATCGATATAAAGGATTAATCAGGTTCAAATCCCATGCAAATCATTGTAATTACTTTAAAGCTATCACTCGTTCTCTTTTTCTCTTTCTCACACGATGACCCTCTTTATTATAATCCTTCCATGTGATTAAAAAAGTGTTAAACTTTTCGAGAAAGTGGAATTATTATTCAATGACAAGAATCATATCCAAATATTGTCCAAAATACATCATGTAATAAGAGAGGACAAAAATATTTTCTAGACAAGAGTAGATTCTAAAAGGTTAAAAGATTTTGAAAGATCAATACGTTATAGTTATTAAATCTTCGTGTTGATTATATAAAAAAGAAAAAAAAAGTAAAAAACAAATATTCGTTTAAAAAAAGTAAAGAACACTTTGAAATCTCATACCGTCGTGATATATTGAAACGACGTAATCTTTAAAACATTTTTTTTTTTTTTTCAAAAAAAAAAAAAAAAGTAAAAAACAAATATTCGTTTAAAAAAAGTAAAGAACACTTTGAAATCTCATACCGTCGTGATATATTGAAACGACGTAATCTTTAAAACAT